TACATCCACCGACATAACGCGGCGTTACGAGGGCTATACTACCATCTAAGGCACTCGTACGGGGTAGACCAGACACCACTGCTGCCTTACAACCGCGGAGATATTGAGTCTGTTGTCGGGAACGAGAAACGCCGGATTTACTGGAACTACTCATTCCCGACGGTCAGGCTAATCCAAGCCAACAAGCCTAATATAGTCCTCCTCGACCATCAACTCAAGATGATGTATGTCATCGAGTTCTCGGCACCTGCGGAGAAAAACCTTGAAGGAGGAGGAGAAACGGACCAACTACCGCGATCTCCGGTACGAGCTCCAAGTGCTGTACCAGGCTACTCAGTCAAAATGGTCGTCCGAATAATCGGTGTACTCGGAGGGATAAAGACTACGCTTCTCTCGGAACTGAAGAACATACCGGCTTGCCAGAAATCAGCCGAGTGGCTGGCAGGCCAAATGCTGAATGCGGTCATTCTGGGTTCTCTCCGTGTGCTTAGGGCACAAGATTCTGGTATATACAGTCACTAACTCTGCGGGAAGTGGGGAGTGGCTGTAGTTAATGCGCCGGCGCGACTCGCATGAGGCGTCAGAGGCCATGGCATCGGATAATCCGAAAATAATAATAATAATTATTATTATTATTATTATTATAATATGTTTTCAATATATTGAAAAAGGTATAAATCCACACCGAAACGTTTATACGGAAAAAAATAATAAATGAATTCCATCACAATTTAAAAAAATAATTATTAAAACAAGAACCATATTCCCAAGAAAAAACAACAAGAAAATATATAGAAACAAGGTTCAAGAAATAAAAAAAAATATAAACTTCTTAAAAACCATTTATGTATATATATATATATATATATATATATATATATATATATATATATATATATATATATATATATATATATATATATATATATATATATATATATATATATATATATATATATATATATATATATATATATATATATATATATATATATATATATATATATATATATATATATATTTAAAAAAACTGGTAGACGTAGTGGACGACTAGTTCAAAGACAAACAGCTTATTTTTTATTAATGAGGATGCGGTCCAAATTTTGTTGGATTAATAAAGAATACTCTTTTCCACTTTGCCAAGCTTTCGAAAATATTTTATTTTCTTTCTCAAGACTACAAAAGAAGATAAAAAGTGTTCATAATTACATGTAAAAAATTATAAAAAACATTTTTTTTACCTTATGCCAGTAAGTTGAGGTTATAAGTTAAAACTAACATCACGTTACACATTAAAATTTTTCACAATGCAATGTTGACATCTACTTTATGTTATTTAATACATTTTAATAGCTGCATAATGACCAAATTAATCGAATAATAAACAGGGGGATTGAACCCCATGGTAGATGTACTCCACTACTCTAGTACATGTCACCTGGTAATTGGTTCAAATGCAAATTACTCTACACAGCACATATTTCATACCAACTCACCAAACAATCCAACCAGAAATATAACTAAAAACCGCGGGCATTTTCAAAATTCTACATTTTATGAAAAGTTTGAATTTATTCAAATTTTCCTTCAGACAGGTTTGCTTGAACTCACGGGGCTAAAGAACCTCCTATATTGTCACTAAGTTCTCTAGTTCCTGAGAACACCCCCGAATAGAATCAACCCTCGATCTGATTTAATTTGTGAATTTGCAATGTAAACTTGGCCAGTTTTTTCCCTTAGGATCCAGCAATATTATAGTATTATAGTTAGGAATTTGTACATACTTGTTTGGATATTCATTCATTAAAAAAGTTTCAGTTATTGCCACACAATCCATGTCTTTTTCCAGAACAAAGTCATAAACAGTACTCAAATTGTTCCGAGAGTGAATTTATCCACCAAGTTATTAGATCCATGTCTATGACCCAACTATATGTAAGTTTTAATAATTAATATTCACAATTACTCACAGAAGTTTACTATATATAGGAGAACGATATGAACACACCACACTCATTTGTAATCTCTTGGGCAGCGTGTTATTTCATCGCATTCAGATTATCATGTTTACACCTTGAACGGCGAGAATCGCAAAATGAACTAGTGATGCATAGATAACAATAGGTCTGACAACTGTTAAGTATAATCAATAAATAGGTCATTTACGGTTTTAGGCCCCAAGTTTTACCAATGAGTCTGCGGCACATCCAGAGGGCAGTTGTTGCTCTTCCAGTAACCCTTGTGGGGTGCTTATTCGAGATTTGTTCTTGGTCTTCGATTACACCTAGTTATTTTACCTCATGAGAGAAGTCAATTTGTACATCATTTATTTTTGGGGCTTTAAGGTTATTGTTTTTGGTTATTAGTATCGATAGATTTTAGTTTTATATTGGAGACCTGGTGAAAATATCACCTTCATAAATTAAGCTTACTTTATATTCTAATCTATTTTTTTGCCAATAAATATACATAACATGAGAATTTTGAAAACATGGCAGCATTTGAGAGAAATCATGATAATGATCGAGAAGAATTATTACAGCATCCTTCGGTCACTGTCAATATACCTAAAGTTTTCCTGTAGCCAAAAACCTTCTGGTCATTGTTGTCAAGATTCTGCGTAAAGCGTACATAAAATACCCTTATATCTCAGAATGGTAGAGAATCTGAAACTGTTGGTTACTTGTGATGGAGATTACAATACTAACACGAGACCCCTTTAAGTGGAAACATGTTTGCATACTCAAGTTGTGCAGATGTTTTGTCTATCTAAAATGTCTGTCGATGTGTCTTTTTTTTATTTCCTTGGCTGGATTTTATTTAAAATTTAAATTCCATTGGATTGACCATAACGTGTAATAGATTGCTGACATATTTCAGAGCTATATTGACAACTCATGGTTAAAGTAAATATTGAACACCTGGAATAAAACCAATTTAGAGTAGTAAAAGCAAAATCATTTCTGTTTCTGGTAAATTAAGTTTGTTCACCCATGAATATTGCACAGTGCTCCCAGAGTTTCTAACAATTTCTTGGAAGTATGTTGCGTAACTTCAGAACAGAGGGGGTTTCTCAGACAAATACGAATTTTAAACTCTTAAGAAATACAATAAAAAAACTGACACAAAAAAAGAGATGTTGTCACAATTTAAAATCGATTATCTTTAAAATAATATTTCGTTTAATTACTTTTGTACTGTTTTTACTTTTATTATATATTTGAATCAGTACCTACCTTAAAATCTAAAAAAGTTGACATGGTTTAGTTTATTTATAAGTTGTATGTGTACATAAAATACAGTTTTCGACTGAATTGCAACTGTTAAATTTCCTCATTATAATTCAAAGAATCTATTGACTATTAAGTATTTTACGTGATACTATAGTTAAATTTTAGCTAAATCTGCACTAAAATGTTAATCATCTCCTGATTCGTAGAAATACGTACTCCCCGGAATTATTCATGTAAACCTATTAAATAATTTATATTAGATTCAAGAACAGTGTATATAAGTGTCGAAATTTGGGGCTGGTTTTGGAAATCTCCAATTTTGGAGCGTGGAACGTACACAATGTTGTTGGTTTACCATAAGCTGTTATGTAAAAACCTTGTGACTATTAATACATATGTAATTAATTTATGGATACCTATATATGTGGGAATAATTTATGTGTTTTTTGTATATTGCATATATATTGCTTTTTATAAAATAATGCGCATAGTCAAGTGTAATAAAGTGTCAAAATACGTATTTCTTATAATTTAGCACATAGTTGTAGTACATTCGTTTCTTTAAATATTGATTAATAAATTAGGCGTATTAGAATTTAGATTTTCTATTAAAAAAAATTGCCTTATTAGTTATGTAAACGGCCAAAATTGCAGATATTGTATAACAGAGAATCCACATTTGGTACAAAAAAATACAAAAACGGTGACCCCAAAGTATACGTATGAGTCGACGTAGTTGAGGATAGAGTTATAGGTCCTTTCTTTTTCGAAGAAAATGTATCTAAGGTAAAATTATCTATGGTTGGTTCTTGCTTGAATATAATTGTATCTTCATAACACTGGATACTTTTGGGGATGAACTTTATTTTCATCAGGGCAGTGCCACTCGACATTATGGGTTTCTGTACGTTTAAACCTGCTTCTTAAGAATCTAATTTGCATTCATAAATTATCCGTTTTTTCGTGTCTTCAGTTGCCGTCGGCGGATCATGATATACCTTATCTTTAACGTAACTCCACAGAAAAAATCGAGTGGTGTGAAGTCGGGTGATCTCGCAGACCATGGGATAAATCTGCCATGAGCAATCTATTCGGGGTAAACTTTGTCAAGATGGACCGATCCTCGATGAGATAGTGCGCTGGAGCGCCGTCTTGTTAGTGCCACATAAGTTAAAGGATGTTTATGTAAGATGTTTAAGAGAAAAAATTTAGCCCAACAATTTTATTGTTTGGTTGTTCTTGATATGCTCCATTTCATATTCCACTAATTGAGCTACGCTGTCCTTATGAGGGATAATAATTCCCAAATACCGGTGTTCTGTAGCAGCGTCGTGTTTTTTTCTGGGACACATGGCATGATTCTCTTTTGTTTGATTATTGAACCCCATGAATTCTATCATTGTTTATAGTCCCACACCAGACATTTAAAGACCACCTATTTCACAAAGTTGCTTCCCACAATTAAATAGGATTTTCGACAGAATAGCATATTATGCCGATTTACTAAACCTTCAAATTTAAATTTAGATTCATCAGTGAATACAATTTTTGACGAAAAGTTAGGGTTTATACGAATTCGTTAAAACAAATCATTACAAAACTCCACACTGTTCTAGAAATCGTTTCCATGTAATTCCTGGTGTAATTCAACATAATTAAGGATAGTATTTGTACTCTTTCGTGGTTTTGTTGACCGCTGCCTGCTGCTAATTTAAGGGTTTTCTTCAACAAAATTCTGTTAATTACTTTATGTTTTAGATAATCAATTACTTTGTGGTCGAGTGGTAAGGACACTTGCCTCTCAACCCGGAATCCCGGGTTCGATCCCCGGTCGAGTAACTAGGAATTTCGGACATTAGGTGTGTGTCCGTTGTCTCTAATTGTGTAGCCCTCTCCCACACAAGGTACCTTGAAATTCCTTCAGGGATACAGAGGGTTGTTTTATCTGTGGTGTTTAATTTTAATTTTTTTTTTAATCCACATGTCCTGGTGCGTTATCTTTCCATTAATTTTTGAAATACCCTATTTGGTACACGTCGTTCAGGGAACTTTATATGATAGATTCGAGATGCTAATAAACAGTTTTTTGAAACTCATCTAAGACGTACAATACGACAATTAATAATTCTTTCTTAGGGAAATTAATTCTTAAAACACATAGAACACCAAAAATCAAATCTCAGATGAATATAACAGTGAAATAGGATCAAAAATCGATTTTGTAAATAAGTTAATATTAAAATTTGACATTTAACATCAAACTGTTTTCATGGCCTACTAGATTAACTCATCAGCAAAGTAGACTATCCGAAATACCAATGTTATGAATAGAAATGTAATCATTAATCAGCGAGGATAAATAATTGGAAATTACTTAAGGAAATAATCTAAATAAGTTTCAATTTTCATTTAACATTTTCTGTATCCCTAGCTTATTTTTCTTATGGATAATGAAAATAAAATGCATAATCAATTAAAATGGATCTTCTTTTAATCCGAAACGAAAGAATTTTTTTAAATCTTAAAAGCGTGGTGAAATAATTGTAGTAAAATAAATGATTCTTTTTGAGTAAGTACCTACAAAGTTATTAGCTTTAGACTTATGGTACCCTCATGGATAAATATAGATATTTTTATTAAAATTTGAATTAAAATTATTGAAAATAAAGTGGCGTCCCATTAAAAAAAAAATTATCTCCATAATACTAAAACTTTCATATAAAACAAATTTTTGTATTACTGATAATAAACGAGGCATTGGACATTGTCATACAGTTGTACAATAAAATCATCCTTTTGATGTTTTCTTTTTTGAGCGTCACATTTTTACTTTCTTTTTCTTTGTGATTCCCTGAATATTTTATTGGTATATGGCATTTAGTTGAATAGAGAATTGAAAACTATTGAAAACTTTAGAGTTCTACCTAAAAGAAAACCTCGATAGTATCATCACGCAAACTGTGTTGTAATTTGTAAATTTTCTGTACCAAAAAAAAAATGCGCAATTGAAATTAAAAATCGACCTATTCGAAGTTTTTTACTAATTGCGTATTAATGGAGAAAATTAATCAATACTTTCGTTACACACTTAGATAGATTTTATTCAGTTATAACCCAACCTGAAACTCAAACTATGCAACTATAAACCGTAAATGGTTCTTAAGTTTACTGTAGTCACAGACCGACGGACACATATTTTGAAAATCATATTTTGGAGTTGATAAAATATAAAACGCGCATTTACATTAAAATCTAAGTAGCAATTTGGTCACAATAATATTAGGTATTTACTTATTTTATTTTATAAGAACGTAAAAATGAAAAGAACAATAATTACTGTTATACTGTAAAAGATAAAGAGGAAATATCCTAGGCACAGGGTTGTTAAATGAAACTTTTTTCTGTAGAGTAATCTTAGGAAACATGAACTGTTATAGCTAAAAAAATAAACTTAAACTAATTAGAGACAATCTCACCGCTTAAACACTGATTGTATGTAATTATCATAGAGCGCATAAAACAGAGATTAAAGTGTTCAACAATTCTGGGCGCGCTTACAATAGTCTACCCCAGGGAAGGGTGTGGAACATTTCATCCAGCGGAATCCGCGATCTGCGAAACGCACGTGCGATTCAAACTGCTCTAAACCACCGTGGAGGGATACCATACTATCAATGATATCCAATATTATTCTTTTAATCTTGGATTTGCAGTGTTCCCGATATGAATGGGTAATGGACAGGGTGAAATTAAACTTTAAATTGGAAATAAAGTTTTACAGATTCGAGTGCAGAAAAAATGTTATTTCTTTACTGTTGTAGTGATGTTCACTACGTTCATATTTCAAATAAAGGTAGATAGAAAAGATATTTTTTTACTGAGACTAAGTTTTCCTGGTGAATTTTACGTGTACACGTTCCTTAGAATTTTAACAGTTCACGTGAATTTTTAAATGACATTTCCACTCCTCTCAATTAATGGACACTTTGGGATCATGTTTAAAATGTTTACCAGAAACAAAATTGAAAAAACTTTGTATTTTTTCATAATACCACAAAAAATTTCGATTTTATCGGATAAATTTTCATTTACATCTGAGATTCCTTAAATTATTTTGTCAAAATGACAACAAAATTTAAATTAAGTGTAAATAAAAATTCATCCGATTTTAAAAAGAAGCCTAGAATAGCACTTGACATGGCAATTCGTGGAGTATGTAATGATGTGCATAGATAATAAATTAACAATTATTGATAACAAATTTATTTGCTAATAATTATAGGCTCTGTGCAAATAAATCTGGGAGACATACTACTACACATTACATATGCAAATCAAAAAAAACTTGCATTCTACATGGTTTCAAAAGGGTATGTTTACAATATGGAAAAAACTTAAAAAAATCTACAAGATGTCCCAGATATATTTGTTGATATAATTTATTGATTGCATTGTTTTTATTCCTTCAGGACAACAATAAATTACTATAATATGTATACGGTAGATGACTTTATAATTACTAAATTTGGTGCCTAGTTGTTGTCAAGCCAATTAACTTGACATTTCTATTATTACGCCACTGGACTGTGTAGATTGGTTAGATGAGGCTGGAATTGTACGAGAACGGCCGGGAATATTCTGGAATTTTCTAGACCGTGTGAATGGATGTATATATAAGACGCACGGTGGGCCGAAACTCAATCTTAAGTTGAACGTGAACGAGTAAAGAAGAAATAAGAAAGAGACTTATAAGTAAAGCTGCAAATCGTTTCTGTATATCATGGTCGTAGAGTACAGATGTACTTACTGTCGCCGGCATTCACCTTGACCGCGAAACTCTTTCTCCAGTCCAGTCTATTAATAGCTTTCGAGTTGTGTACACGTTAAGTCACTTGGGCGTATTGCATGTTGTTTTTGTGTTTTTATTTTATTTGATGTACTGTATTGTTGATATTAATTTAATAATAAAGCATGGCAGACGTATGCAGGGGTAGAAAACGACCATTTGCTGACAAAGTGAATAAATTCATAGGTAAATTCCCGGATTTATACTATGATGGTGCTAAAATACTTTGTAAAGTGTGCGAGAAAGATTTGGTGTGCTGGGATAAGCGTGATTGTGGACTTCACGTAAATAGTGTACACCATAAAAATAAAAAAATAGCGTGCCTTCGACAACACAGTTTATGTTTGATTTACTATTAATGCTGATTGCCTGTGATGTTCCGCTGCACATACTCGATAAACAACCATTTCGAGAGTTCTGGAATAAATACAATGCCTAGCTGAAGTTATCAAGTCGCACAACGTTATGTAACTATCTACCAACTGTATACGTAGACATAGTAAATAAGATGAAATGTGAATTAAAAAATACACGGCTGTGGTTATCTGTTGATGAGACAACAGATTGTAAAAAAATTCTATTTTAAATGTTATAGTACGAGTACTGGACTCTCTTAAACCGACAGTTCCACTGTTACTAGCTAGCAAAAGACTAAGTCAGTGTACTAGCGAAACAATTACCAGGGTGGTGCTGGAGACGTTAGAAAAATTTGAACTGTCAAAAAGTCAAGTGTTGATGTTTGCGACTGATGGCGCCGTGACAATGCGTTCGATAAGCCGTTCTTTGCAAGAACAAGGATGTACGCAGAAACTATTCGAAAAGGTTTTCCAGAGGTGGATGCATTAATAGCAAGTACAAAAAAAGTGTTTCTTAAATCTCCTAAACGTCTCCGTACATTTCATAGCAGGTGTCCCGGTATTCCTGCACCACCACAGCCGATTCTTATACGTTGGGGAACATGGTTACAGGCAACTTTTTATTATGCTGAATATTTCCAATAAATAAAAGCTGTGATACTACAATTCAATCCAGATGAGGTTGTAGTTATTAAGGAAAGCCAGACAAAATTCGAAGATATTTCCGTTGAAACAGCTTTAAAAAATATTACGAAGAACTATAAATCATTAGATGAAAGCATAAAAAAGTTAGAAGACAGTGCGTTGTCGTTAGCGGAGTCACTGCAAATAGTGAACGAAATAAATCTACTGTTACCTGCTATAGGTGACGCAACAAATGAGTGCGTTAAAGAAAATTTTGCAAGTCTGTTAAATGAAGACACCGGTTTTATCAAATTAAGACAAATATGTGATGGTGCAGCCCCAGATCCATTAAGTGCGTTCAAAGACTATTTTAGGTATGTGTGTATTACATCAGTAGATGTCGAACGGTCGTTTTCAAAATATAAGAATATATTTTCACCAAAGCGAACATCATTCATGGAGACAAACCATAGAAACATACCTGATGTTGCAAAATGGCTACATATCTTCTCCAATTTGTGATAAGCAAGCTAGTTCATCAAGCTAGTTAAGAGGGTAAGTTTTATATACATTGTTATAAATTGTAGCAGTTTATTGTTTCTCGTATTAGTTAATTTCGCATACGCCACTGTCCCACGGAACATTTTTGACAGCCCTACTTATAAGTGTTCAATTGTGATTATAGTTAAGACAGTAATTAATCTATTGTTGTTAATTGTTAATTAGTAAGTAAAGTAGTAAGTAAGTGTTACCTGGACTTTCAATCAACGAATCCACGAGTATAGGCAAACACGTAACACTATGAAATCTATTCCAATCAGTAGAGACAAAAAAGGCCTTGGCCTTAGAAAAGGTGGGGTAGAAACCATGTTGACATATGTTGTTTAGGTCGGGACCCTGATACAAAATCCAAGTTTTCGACCCTTGGGGGAGGCGTGAGTCATCATCTTGAATGAAAAGGGCAAACATTGTTCTTTTCAAAATAGTTCCGCAATAGTTGATCCAATGGCAAA